CATGAATAAAGAATGGTATCAAAACGTCCTGCAAGAGCGACTTCTTCCAACGATCCATGAGCAATTTGGTGATGATCCTTGCATTTTCCAGCATGATGGAGCACCATGTCACACAGCAAGAGTGATAAAGAAGTGGCTCGAACATCATTACATTGAAATTTTGGATCCGTAGCCAGGCAACTCCCCGGATCTCAATCCCAAAGAGAACCTGCGGTCAGTCCTCAAAAGACGAGTGGACAAACAGAAGTCCACAAATTGTGATTAACTCCGAGAACTAATAAGGCAAGAATGGATCGCCATCAGTCAGGATTTGGCCCAGAAGCTAATATCCAGCATGCCAGAGCGAATTGCAGAAGTTATGAAGAACGAGGGTCAACACTGTAAATATTGACTCATTATATTTTGCCAATAAAAGCCTTTAAAACTTATCATTGTTTTTCAGTATACCATAGAAACATGTGGAAAAATAATCTACAAATACTGAAGCAGCAAACTTTGCAAAATACTAAACTTTTGGCCATGACTATATAGGCCTATATAAAATGATTGCCTAATAAAAAGTAGCATAATAATAATGATGATGATGATGATGATAATAATAGCTTAATATATCAGCTGTCTGAATAGAGCAGAAAATTAAGTATTTAAAAATTGTCTATGTATATCAAAGACGATAATTGGCTACTTTCCGTTGGCAACTGTCCGATGTTTTCTATTCTCGCGATAACTAGGTATTCATTTGCCAGTCTAATTAATCAACAACAGCTTTAATACCTGTGTGAAGCTGCCCATAAAACTAACCGAAGCAACTCCTGTGGAAGACTAGATCTAATAATCTAATAGATGTTGACACATATCGTTTCTGGTTCTCTGTAAGTTATCGAAACCACACATAAAATACGCATCAAACACCAAACGCACGAATTTGCTGGGGAACTATACGGTTCCGTTCACACAGCACATAATAATCGAAAATACGGTTGTATGTGTGTGAACGGAACCGTATTGTGCATTCAAATACAAGACTGACGATCTTATTCTGCTGCGGTGTGAACTTTGTTTTCCTGTTTCATGTGTACTGCTTTCATAACTTCAACTTAATTTGACTCTTAAATTTATGAGTTTAATCTGAATACTGTTAAGTAACGTTACAGATATCATGAATCAATTCTCAGATTCTTTTGTAAAGAGTTTGTAAAACATGGGACAGATGTAAGTTGTTTAATGCAGTTGTTCAGGCTTATATCATTAATAAATAGGAATACACAAATCAAGACGTTTAATAAAATAAAATTATCATTAACATTCACAGGGAATACAGCATTTTCGCTATAGTAGCCTATTATATTAAAACATATTGTTAGCCTACTCTAAATGCCACAGAAAAAAAGTTAACATGAAACGTCTACAAAATGTAGATTCAGTCAAAAACATCTGAAGTTTGGCATTAAACAAAATCCAATTCGGGCATTTCAGAGAGAGAACAAACTGTGAAAATGTGAATAATTCTAATTGCCATAGAGAAATCTATTGCAAAACTGAAGTGTCACTCAATTTCTCATTTGTTTTTTGAGCTGAACTTTTCACTATTTACAGATACTCAAAATACAAAAAGAGATAAGTTACACAGACATAGAGTAATTCAAAATTGGAAGCTGTACAATGCTATAGGCTACATCATCTAAAATGAGTGACAATCACATTACAGCTGTGCACACTAAGCAAACCACAAAACATTAACATGACATTCATTTCCAACATCAGTGTGTGCCTGTATAACCATGAACCAATATGCATGATCACATTTATTTTTTGGCCTATCCTTACGTGATTTAAACACTATGGTATTTCTGGAGCTTAAGCAAATCTTCTTTACAAAATATCTACTTTAAACTGATTCATTCTGGTTCAGTATTCACCTTATATTTAACGTAAGAGCGGGTGCAGCCATTTGTAACTTGAATGTGTGAGGCTTCCATTGTCATTCGCTTTCAGTTGTCCATTTTGCTGCTTTATATATAAAACTGGTGTTTCTTATCATATTATCATAGCATAGTTTGTAGCACAAATAGGTTTACTGTTTACTGCACGTTGTTATTCTTATAGTTTTTTACCTATTGCGGCTAATGAAACAGAAGTCTCGCACATTCACAGAAAATAGCTTACTTCTGTGTTGCAAAATAATGTGGATACCGTGTTAGTAAAAGAAGAAAACGTGCACATACAATCAACATTTTAAACCAATAGTTCACCCATGACAATTCTGCCCCAATTTACCCTAATGTCATTCTTTCTTTCAGAAACACAAAAGGAGATATTTTGAAGAATGTTCATGCTGCTCTTTTCCATATATTGAATATATCTCTTCTTAAAGGACAAAAAAGTTCCATAAAAGTGGTCCATACGACTTGTGCACTATATTCAAGGTCTCCCTTGTTTGGAAGGTCATGAGGGTGAGTAAATGATGACAACTGTCATTTCTTTAAAGAAAGAAATTATGTGTTTTGGATTAATGATGTTTCCCAAAGCACAACACTTGGCAAAAACACAAGTCTTTACAGTGTTATGGGCTCAGAGAGCCACCTGTCTGGTACAGTTTGAAACGTCTCCAGTCCAAACCATCTTCTCTCCCTCTCACTTCCCATATGAACATCTGTGGTGCAGCTGGGCTGATGTACTTTGGTCTAGGTGTCGTGTATCTCCAAGAAATATTCTCATGATCTGTTCAATGACCATAAACATTTCATTTGCTAGAAAACAATCTTTTACAAGCTGAAGATAAGCTCTAATCCACAAATGATCATCTCAATGTAGGAAGGCCATTGGTTGACTTTAGAAGACTACTATTGATATGTAATGTGTTTATTGAAGAGTTGTAGGTAGAAGAACTGACAAATGTGTTCTATTAATGGAAATTTCCCAAAATTTCTTGGCCTAAACATGTCATGTAAATCAAACTTGGATTGCTAGAATATAGTTATTTATAATCACAACGTTCTGCAGGGATCTTAAAGAAAATGTAGAAGAAATCAATACTGAAATTGTGTGTCTTTTGGTCAATTTCTTTTAAATTAGAAACTAAATCTAATTTAAGATTACATCTATAAGTTAACAAAATACTCTCATCATGATCCATATCTAATAAGATATGTACTAGAAACTGAATTTCTGTGTGGTTTTTGTCCATGTCTGTTAGCTTTGAAGCTAAGGCTAATGCTTATGTAGTCTTAAAATTTGAGAAATCTTTAGCAGATATGTACATTTGCAATATACAGTCTTTATCTTCCAGTAAACAAACCAAAATATTGATGACTCAACTTGCATTAAGGAGTGTATCCAAATTCTTGTCTAATGAAATGCACTCTAGAATGAGACTGTCCCATTTGGTAATACTTCTCTAGCATTAGCAAGTAGAAATAAATGTTCATGTCTGTAATGTAAAAAAAGGGACGAGCCCCTCCATATGTCCCGCCCTAACTGCCTGTTTCATATAGGAAATAAATCAACACAGGAAAAAAAATCAAGCCGTTCCTCATCAAGCCATTTCATTTGGTCTTGAAGGACTTTGTATTACTTTATGGTTTGAACTGAAATGTCAAATACACATAAAATGGCAACAATACTACTGTATGACATGGCATCTTGTATTATGCAGCTTGAAACACAAATTGGCTTGAGTGACTGTGTGTGAGGATGTCTCCGAGTCCTCTGCTCTGGGCGTTCATGTATATAAGACTGCTGTACAGGAAGCACGTGAGATGCTTTGAGCTTGAAGAAAAACAACAAATGGGAGGTTCATAACAGAGTAATCTTCTCCAACGTTCTCCTCCTTTATTCTCCTGATGCATGTCTTTATTCCTTTTCATCATCTCTCTATCCATCTCCTTCCTTCTCATCATCTCTTCTTCAATCTCCTTCCTTTACGTTTCACCTCTATTCCTGTAGTAAGTGGTTCCGGCGGTTCCTGCTCTTCCTGTGGTCCAGCAAGGGTTTGAGTTTACCCAGATCGCCTCTCATGGGGCTCTGTATGCTCTGCAGACTCTGCATCTGTTTGCGTTCCTTGCAGTATTGGTGCATGGCCAACGTCTCAGCCGGGCTGAAGGCCGACACCAGGGCTTTAGGGTGCAGTGAGGCTGCCCAGCCCCAGGGAGAATGTTTATTGCTCAGAGCGCTGACCAAAGCTTCGCTCAGAATCTGGAGACGGATTTTAGCAAGTGTGCGCTTGAAGCCATTCTCTGTGGCCAGGCAGTAGTACACGCCTTGATCCGAAGAATGCACTGAACGGATGAGCAAGCCGTGATTGGTGGACACCACACGATCACTCAGCTTCACCTGCACACAGAGAAAAGAATGACCGGTGAATGTGTCATTTTTAAATGCTTATTGAATGCAAAAATACACGATAGGGATGTGATCCTTTTGGGCAGGGGCGTGTTTGTTTTGGTGATTAAAAGACCATTTTTGGAATTTAATGAACTCTATAAAAGGGGGTTTCTTCCATTTTAGAAAGTACAAATTGTAAACGTTTATATTTTATGAATTTAGATTAATTTAATAATCTACTACTACTTTTAGATATTTTAAATTAAAATATAATAATAATAATAAAGAACAATTTTTTTTTTAATTATATAATTTTATATAAATGTAATAATTATATTTGCATAAAATATACAAGTGTGGGAGATTATGCTTTATATAATATTAGCACTTATATTATCTATAGAATATTGTCTCTATTCTTTATTTTTATTGTAAGCCAGACCTTTACAAGACAAAGAAGTTTTGAACGTCCCTGTGCATCCATTATTTTCTTATTCTTCAAGCACAGAGGGACCATTGACAGTTTAGGAGGAGTCAGTCTGTTTGATGATTACAAACACATGATGATATTTCAATGAAAGCAGCATCCGCCGATAGCATGGAGCAATGTACTGTGCATTGGCTGTTGAGGATCAGGGTTTAATGTTGTGTCATTTTGGACAGAGTTGTCTGACCTCTTTCCTGCGATCGTTGTCTCTCTGAATGAGCCATTTGACTGAGGCCTGTGGAGATTTGGGCTGACACTCCAGGAAGGTGGTGTTGTTTTTGACTCCATACTGAGTCATCTCCACTGCATTCCTGTAGGCTGAAACAAGACATCAAGTTTTTCTCTCGCACACTAATTGTAATTGTACTGCTGTATTTCAGCTAACATCTGCGGAAGAGGGTCATGGTGGGTTTTGAGTTCACTGGGGATGCAGTAAAATATACTCAGTAGTGGGGCAGATTAGTGTGTAATTGGATAAGTGACCCTGTACACTGGCCAATGATGTCACACATTCAACATCTGTTTGGACATTATGCTAATTTTGTTTTGCGCATACAGCTGGGATAACGCTTTCACTCATATTTAAGACTGCTATTTAATCATTCTGATGCATCCAAGTGTTTAACTGAGTCATCTGGATCGCTGACAGAATCAGTGCCAATTGTATTCAAATTAACAGGTGTTCTGGTCCCATGACAGATTCTTTCTCAAGGAGAGAAAGAATTAGATAAACATGAGAGGAAAAAAAGGAAATGAGTGGTGGAAGAAGAGGGAAATGTGTGAGGCTGAATGTCAATTAGCATTTAAGTTAAACACCGAAATGTATTTCACTAGGAAAATACATTGTGTGTATATGTATAAAAATAGTATGCTCGTATTGAAAAACTGTCAACACATCATAAAGTGACTTTGATGCATGAGCATTTTAGCATTAGCATTGGCTGCGTTCACGTTAGAATTAGCATAATTACAAGATGACGACTTGGAGATTCTACTCTGAGCAGTTTGAAATTATTAGTTTCTATGGCAACGTTCATAACGCCAAAATGGATCCATTTGTGGCTATGTTGTTGATGAGTAAAATACTTAGTCACTAGATTGATTTACCTAACCAGACATGACTTCGTTTCTAGCACAGTTCATCCTCCCAATTAGATAGCAAAAATGCAGTACAATGTGGCAAAGCCAGTCATTTCATTATGACTCCACGTGATCAGGAATTCCGTAAAAAAAGAGCTACAAATTTCCCTATGCAGGTTTCGCAACTGGTTCAAGTTGGTCTTGCAGATTCGCTGTGCTAACACAAAGCTGCTTGGTTTGAAAGTGACATCTGTGTGAACGCTGATTCATACAACGCTACACTGTTGACAGTAGACAATGGACTGTTTTCAGTGACAAAATTTCGCTGATGTGACCACATCTTAACTGTTGACACTGCTGCCAAAGCTTTTTACATGATGTTGAGTTTTCATTAAAGCTTCATGAGTTTTCAACTTGCAATCATGAGTTTAACCAAATGAAGCTGCAGTTATGAGAAAAAGCAGCAATTGTCAAAAATAGTTGCATTTTTGAAATGCAGAGAAATAAAATATAAAGAAATAGTTGCGTTTACGAGAAAAAGTTGCAATTACAAGAAACAAAGGTGCAATTGTGAGATATAAAGTCTCGTTATGAGATATAAAGTCGCAATGACTTTGAATTAAATAAATGGAAACAGGCTTTTTAAACTGCCAGTCACAAAACTGCTTACTGAAAACTTAAATTGTCTGAGCACATAACTTTTGCGCTTTTTTTTTTTTTTTTGCCTATCCCAAGTGTTGACATGCAGGTATTCATTACCTTTCAGATTGAACCCTCTGCACTGAGTCAGTGGATTCCCATGCATAATATCCTGCCTTCTGCTTCTCCTGGAAAAACATTTACATAGGATTAATCCAACATATTTTCATATATGCATTCTTACCTTTCACTCTTACATTCTCTCACTTTTTATCAACATCACTGCCTGAATGTTTGCACAATTTTGTTTTTATAAAACACATTCCTTGTCATGAAAGTCCAATTTTAGCTTAATTTCTCATAATTAACATGATTCAGCTGTCACAAGTGCAGTAAAATGAAATGTCTGGTTTTTTTTCCTGCTTCAATACTCTGGAATGGATGTTTTGATGGCTGTGCCTTCCATCAACATTTTCCGTAATTAATACATCTGGCATCAAGAAAAACTGTTTGTCTAAGGTATCAGATAAACATGTCCCATTCTGAAACAAGCCACAGTGTAAATACTCGTGAATATGTAATACAGTATGTGGACTGTTCTGTTTGATTGACAGGCTGTATGTGTGCGGTGTGAGTTCTGAAGACTGGACGGTTTCTGAAGTGTTGCCACACAGTTGCTAAAGTGTTCTGAGTGATTTTTACTTGAGTTGCTGTGCAGTTGCTAGGGTGGTTGCTTACTGGCCCAAGTTAGAAATGCCTATCCTCAAATCTCTGATATTCTAGCCCCTCAATGTTTTTTTTGTTTGTTTGTTTTGTTTTTTATCGTCTGCCAGGAAAATCTTAAGCCAGAACTCTTTAAATGTGACGGAATGTATTTTAATATGTAGGGTTAGGGGTTTATTCAAATTGCACGAATAATCTTTCGACCCAGACTGTGTGTCTCTGCTTTATGACTAAATGAAACCAAAGCTGTGTCTCATCATTTATTTCTGCCCCACTGCTACTGCCGTTTATGCCACCCTGAGTGTTAGTGTGTGTGTGTCTGTGTCTGTGTACCTCTTGCCAGTAGGGTAGAATCGAGAACAGCTGAGCCCATCCCAGGCGCAGTACGGGTCCCGCGCTAAACAGCAGTCCGCACAGGCAGAGCCGTATGCATTGCAACGGTGCAAAGACACCTGGGACACTCCATACTCAGAGCTAACATACAGCTGTTGCTGTAACGCAAACAAGCCAGATATCTCAAAAGCTGTTCCTTTAACCCACAGGACTGGTGACTAGATAATTACCCAGAATTAAAGCAACAACATTTCCCCCGCCACCCCCGCTTACTATATGTAGCACTTGATCACAAAATAGAGCTAGATGAAAGAGCTACTAAATGTAGTTACCTTTTTAGATGAGATTCTTAGGTTGGTGATTGGAGATTGCTTCTGAAAATCAAAAAAGAAATTGGATGAAGTTAAATGTAAAAAAAATAAAAATACAATTCGTGCATGCAGTGTCTGTTCCATTGAACATTTATATATTAAATTTCAACAGTATTTTTTGTGGTGAAAATATCAAGGTGGTGTAACTAAGAATTTGATATATTTTTATAAAAATATTTTCAACAATGTAGAGTCAGTGTGGTGCAACCAACATGTATGTGATATGACAATACCTTTGATGGTCACTTTCCTTTGATGGTTACACCATTTGACAATTTTACAAATATGACATTCCTAAACTAAGTAGGCATATGTGTTTTAAACTACATTAAAAAAAGATGTAGCTTTTTATTATAATTGACATCCTTAGCCTGTCTGCCATTTTAGCCAATAACGAACATCACAATGAAACCACATTTTCAATGAGAAATTGCCTACTTCAGGTGGTATTGAGTTTTTATGTGCAAATTTGTGACTGTGTGTTGAGATGCCAAATTAAACTGAGCTATGTGTGTGTGGCATTTCATGGTCCATGAATTGATTCATCATGCCTAAACCTATTTTGACGATTTCGAGCCACTCAAAGCCGATCATAAGAAACCTCACAGAGTAACCTTTTCCTTACCTCATGCCCAGTCTTTGTTCCCATTAAAAATCTGCCTTCCCTTAGAACAACATTGAGTTTTAATAAACGCTTTTTGGCACTGCCAGCTCTGCTCCTGCAGTCTGCCCTCTAGATACTTTGATGTGTGATGTGTGGCGAGAACTCAGACCTTAAACACTTCCAGCTCCACCAGGATTAGATCCTCATCCAGAGAGCCGTTTGACGGCAGAACCACGACCTTCTGTACTGTGCCTTTATCTGTGAGCAGAATATCAGAACGTCAGGAGAGCATTGGACAGTCTGGAAAGCAAAAACAACCTCGGTAATGCGGTCTGGGTTTGAACCGCATATGAACTTTCCATCGTTCTCAGATTTTCTCTTTGAAATCTTTTAGCTAGTGTGCATATCTGGGTTGGTTTTTGATGTTGTTGAGCATCTGTTCTGAGAAACAGATCTGCAAACTAAACTTTAGAGGAAAATGTGTAGTTGCCAAGGTGTTCTGGGTGGTTGTTAGGTGATTTTCATGTCATAAGAGCCAACCCACCAGTCCCTAGATATGGCCCGTGGCCCTACTTCAATGTAAGTCTAAGCATTTTTTTGTTTTTTTGCCATCTGCCTGGTGGAAATGATTTATTGGATATCTTGAGTTTTGAATTTGATGCCACTAGCTGCTAATGACCATTAATTGTCAAGCTCATTCATTCTGTGAGCTCATGATAGGTGTGTATATTTTGCTCCAGACCCTCAGAGAAAGGGATGATGGAGAATTCAGCTGAAACTCTGGAAATTCCCATGTTAAATAGCCAACATTTCTAGACGAAACCCTGCCAAGGAGCAGGCAGGCCGCTCCGCACAATGCTCCTGGCTTTCCGTCAGGAATTCTGATGGGCAAATACAAACAGCTGTGATTTTGAATTCTCTCCAAATGTCCCTATCCCCGTTCCCTAGTAACCGCAGAGCCTGTCTGCTGTCGTGTCTTGAGTCTGTTCTCCGATAAACACACACACTCTTTCTTTCATTCTTCCTTTTTTTAGTTTAATTGAAATATATTTTGTATTTTATTATTATAGTATTGAATATACTTTACAGCAGTGGTTCTCAACCTTTTTGGATCAAAGGCCCCCCATTTGTCCATCACAATTTTCAAAGGCCCCCATATAAAGTAAGACATTTCCCACAATATTTCTGCTGGGGAAAGCTAAAGAAAAATCATTTAAGAAATATGATTTCTTGATTTTATGAATTGTTTTATCATTATAATTAAATTAGAGTATTTTATTTTTGAATAATAATAATAATTTGAATATGAATATGAATTGTAATGAAATATTGAAATTAATATATTATTGTTATTAAGTCATCCTGTGGCTCCCTTGGAAGTTTGTTAAAACCTAGTGGATCTCGGCCTCCTGGTTGAGAACCACTGCTTTACAGTATAGTATAGTATAGTATAGTATAGAAATTATTTAGAAGATATATAGAAAATGGGACATGTTGCAGGCCAGATTAAAACCTGCATCACCCACATGAGCACCACGGCTCAACGTTTCATGAGCATGGAAACTAACTACTGCAACACTCCTCCTAAAACGCAGTTTTAAAAGTAATTGGAAAAACAGATGAATATAAGATTATATTTACAGGAGATTTTATATAAAATTATAAGGAACATTGCTCTGGTATGTTTTGTATAATGTAAACCGCATGTTATGGTATGAAGCAGTGTGGTATAACAAAGTCGAGTGTGTGCTTACTGCCATAATTTATTAAAGTACAGTATAATTTTAAAGTATATTAAATGAAGTATAATTTAACTGACAAAACACTTTCAGTAAAACGTTATCAGTCAGTAAAAGATATTCCAACGTTTCTGCCTTTCTCATTTTTAGTTGGAAAAAGCTACTTAGTCTGTTGAAAAGGTCAACAAGCAGTCAAGTAAAGTGCGCCAGTTCCTTCCACAAACAGATTACATGAGCTAGTTGTTGAAATACGTTTTGGAACATTTGAGTTATTTTTCATTTGATGGTTGTAACTCGGAGTAGGTTAATGTTCTAGAATAGTCATAGTCATTTATTTTTCTTGAGATTTGTCATACTGTGGGGTTTTACCTGTGCCCAGGAATAGAACCTGGTAGTGTCCGTCTGTAGCGGTGACCTGGTCCACAGCTATAGAGGTGTATTTGTAATCGGCATGTGTCCGCACCACCAGAGGTTTCCTGCCGACCGGGTAAATGGGGTTAAACATGACGGGGTGATTCCTCATGAACGTCACCACATCATCTGGAAACTCTTTAGTACTCTGGATATGAGGGGTGAACGCGCCACCAGGACACTGACAGAGGATAAAACAATTGAAAGATTAGATAATCATGCTTTAGATTATGAAAGCTTTGTCACTTTAATTGGGTCTTTTTGTCACTCAAACTAATATTAGTGAGTCTTTCCCTGCGTTCCATTCGGAAGGGCTCATCTCTATGCCCTAATCCCTTCAAAGGGTTTACCCTCCGGAGTGAGAGCTTCGAAGGGTTGAAGGGTGTAGGGGACCAAACAACAAACAAAGAATCTGCGCAAAGGATCATGGGAGCCCGAAGTGTCCATCAGTTGTACCCTTCGAAATCCTTCATTCCGAAGGGCCCTTTGAAGTGGCCAGTTTTGAGCACTTCGGTTTGGAACGACCCTTCAATATGGTGGCCATGATTGTTTTCACTCCGAAGTGCCCTTCGGAGGGCGATATATCCCGTTTGGAACGCACCGAGTGTCTCATGCAAGTGTACTTCATTTTAAAAGCTCCCCCAAAATGTAAAAGTCCAAAGCATTATTAATTTAAGGTTTTGAGTGGGATTCTTTAACATTATAATACACATAATGATAATGATGATGATGATGATGATGATTTAGCATTACATTAATAAAATAATGGTTTTATAGTAAAATATTAACAAATTTCACTTCTTATATAAAAAATTAATTACCATCAAATATAAGCCCTTCTGTCAGAGGATAAACCAGAAATCAAACCTACAAGTTTTATGTATAAACTCAACAAAAAAAAATACATTATTAACAAATATGATATGCTATATTATTTTATAGTAAGATATTGTTTAAAAAATGATCACTTCTTATCTTTAAAAATAAATGACCTTCTATTATAAGCTAGAGGACTGAGCAGAAATCAGGTCTACAAATTGAAAAACACTATTTTATATTATTATTATTATTCTATGTAATGTAATTTTAGTAAAATATTATAAAATTATCTCTAATATATCAAATTAAATAATATATAAAATGATCTCTACTTGTCTCTAAAAATAAATGGCATTGAAATATAAGGCTGACAGAGGACAGACCATAAATCAAATCTACAAATTTCATGTGTAAACTAAACTAAAAATAAGATGATGATGGTGATGATTATTATTTCAGCAAACATTCCTTACCTGTAATTATTTGCCTTTTCAACTAAACTGTGCAAATCACAAATATTTACTCAGATTAATGGTGTTATAAACAGAGTGCCTGTACCAAGGCAGGACATGAATGTGTGTGACTCACGGTTCCCGGTCGTGGGTATGGGATCCGGCCCTGGAAAGCCAACCACTGGAAGCTGGGCCCTTCCCTGTGCGCAAACGGTCCGTTGAAGACCGTCAGGATGTCAGCCATGTTGTACACACAGACAGCAGAACCTCTGAACACAGAACTGGATGGAATAACACAAAACACACAGGCCTATTTAACATGAAGCAAGTCAGACAGTAAAAAGACCGTCTTGCGCATCTTTCCTAAGAATTTGGATTGAAGGGATGATGTAACAGTTACACTGGAGACTCAATCCACAGAGAGTGAAAAATGCCGCATAAAGGAAAGGGGACACATCTTTGGTTATTCTCTGGGATGAAGTGAAGTTTGGCTTGACATTGTAGATTTTGATCAGACAGCAAGACAAAGAGTTTCTTTGTTTGATCGCAAAACAAAGGGAAAGAGGCAAAATATAATGATAAATAACAGAGCAGGGCATGGGCAGAGAAGCTGTCGCTGTTTGGATTGGCCTCATTAGGAAAACCACACAGATTTGACATGGTTGGAGAATGAACCACAGCTCGGAAACCTTGACCGAAATCTCACCTCATTAAACCACAACTCACATACACAACACACGCCCCAACATACACCCATAGAAACCCATCATAACAAGCATAATGAAATGACCCATAGCAAAAATCCCAAATGAGACCTCATATCTGAACTGTTTCGCCTAAACAATGAGATAATAAACGAAGACCACTGGCTTCTCGGATCTTTCTCTTCAGGAAAAACAACTCTTGAGTTTTTGAAGAGATCTCAACGTCTCAAACTGTGCTACAAATTAAATGACCTCTGAACTTAAAATTTTTTTTTTCTAGTACTTAGTAAAAGTTAAATAATGGGAGTTATGCCTGTTGGTGGTAGTGTAAAATTTGGCATTACTTTATAATTTTTTTAAAGGGACATTTGCCCCCTGGAATTGATTTTCACGAGCACTTTTGACCTTTATTTATATAAAAAACAGTCTGCCATCCTTTTTGCATCGAATACTTCAACCCCAAAATAGTCTATTTTTAATAATAGATATACTGTATAAAATATAAAAAATTATATGTATAAAAATTATAAATTTAAAATTATTTATTATAAAGTAAATATAAATTATTATACTTATAGTTATTTTAGAATATAGTATATAATACATACAAATGTTTATAATATAGAATATATAGAAACATTTACAATAATATAGTAAATAGATAGAATAAATGAAATATATTAATAATATGTACAATATAAGAGTATAACATATTTATAAACTCAATATTAGATTAAATTAAATATTATAATAGTATTTATCAATTAAATAGTATAATAGTATATACTGTATAAAGAACAGAATATAATGAAATAAATTATGTAAATGTAAGAATAAAATATTCCTAAACTCATATTAGTTTAAATATTAAAATATAATCAAATGTAATAATTTTATTTAGGAATAAATAATTTAAAAAATCAGAAATTCACTTCACGGGTAGCTAGTTTTATAGTTCTATATTCTTTATAACTTTGTCAACAATTGTCTCATTTATGTTAATTTGTATTATTGTACATGAAAACTAATAACTTCCAAGTACTGTGTGATTGTTTCTGAGAGCTTACACTTACTCATTTACACAAAACACCAACAAAAACATTTAAACTGACTCAGTGAGGACACACTGCATACACTCCTTTTTTCTGTGTGATAGACCAATCAATTTAAATCATTCAGTGAGTCCTCCTTATAATAAAAATGTTAAATTCATCAGAGTGAAAAGCTATTGGATGAACTAGGATTAGATATTTGTTTGTAAAGGAGTGACCTTTCCCTTCATTTACCGCTCTCAGGTGTGATCATATTTTCCCAGAAACCCTGTCATCCCCTCAGCTCCAATCCCGTCTGACCTATATTTGGCAAATACACACATAAAAACATGCACGTGCATATATACACACATTAGCGGCAAGCTCAATATTGCTATTGGCTTTACCTTGTAGAGGTGAAAACTCCAAAGATGAGGAGACCCTTTGGGTGGTCCGTCTCCAATAAAAACACATTCTCTGGAATGAAAGAGACCAACACTCACTCAATAGCTGAACATCTGTCCCACAACATTGTGACACGGTTCTAGTTTGGCCTTACAAGAATAAAACGGGTGAAAGCGTGTAAATCCATCACAGGCTTTAACCCTCCAGTGTAAACGGTTTGTGCTGAGTGTTTTATGATCGTAAAAGGATTTTAATGAGGTGAAAAGCTTTACAAATTTCCTAGGTCTGTTGTTGGATACTGACAAAAACCATAATGGCTGGTTTATGGTTAATGACCAGTAATTATAGAAAGCTGTTTAACTATAACGTGAAATTTGTAAGGCTTTTGAAGGAGTGTTTTGGGTTAAATACAAGTCAAGACCGTATCTAATTAGGGTACGATGGAGTTAAAGGTCCCTTGGGATTTTTTCTAGTCCCAAAATATATGGCAATCTCGAGCCACCATAGCGTGGATGTTCTTAGTGTTTCCACTACTGTCTGTCAGTCTCTCGCGCAGGAAAAAGTAAAGTTTGCCGTCGTTTGGGTCTGAGCCATCAGGAATCAAGTGGGCATCGATGAACACTGGCTCTAGTCAAAATAGAAGAATAACTACAGCTTAAACACTCAATTTGCTCTACATCAACAACAAAAGAGAAATAAGAAGATTGTACTGTATCATTTCTAGCCTAAAGAATCAAACCGCTCCGCATGGTGCTAATGCCTAAGTTTATATGAAACATAATATAGCTGCTGGTGAACTGAGTTAAGAAAATGTATCTCACAGATCCTGACCAAATATGCGTTTCATTGTGTAAAAGATAATGTGACCTCTTGAGAAAACCGTCATGCATGTACAATATGTTTTCATTTTCCTGGTGGAATCATTGTAAATAGATATCAAGTCTGTCCTGTCTTCAGCTATTTCCTTTGACGTGGGCAAAGAAGGTTTTTACTTTGTGGTTTGTGTATTATTTTACTGAAATGGCATGGAACGTGAACATGTAATTTAATGCTCCACATAAATAATTATTTGTAGCTTCAAGAAAACATCCGCAATTTTCTTGACCGAACAGTCATAATAATGTAGATGGATAAAATAACATATGGTTTGTACCGCTCAGCCATTTGGAGTTATGTTGGTCCGTCCTCACTGCGTTCCTTGTGGTCAGGCTCCTGAAGATGGCTGCGTCTGTCCCCATGAAGTCAATGTACATGCCAGAGAACAGCTCCTGATCTAACCACAAACACAAACAGAAACAGAAATGTGTCCCACTGTTGCTTTACACAGATTTAGCTTTAGATTTAGTGTTAGGTATGGATTTTATATCTTCTCAGATGAATAGTAAGGTTGGTGAATTAAACTAGGAAAGACAATAGATTAAGTAATAATAAATAAGTATAAGTAAATTATAAATTAATAAGTAAATAATAAATTAATAATTCAATAATAAAACCTTTACGCCACTTAATTACATGTATAAAATTACATGTATAAAATGTTTTTGCTTTAACATTTCTATGAATGACAGAGTTTCATTTGTTGGAGCTTCAATAATTAAATGTTATTGAAAGTCCACTATAAAATAAAAACTACAAATGATTTCACTTATGTTAAATATTCTGTCTGGGACTGATTTATAAAAAAGTTACCTATAAAATATTACATTCTTTTAATTTTAAATGAGTGCTTCGCTATAGGGGATTGTGTGTGTGTGTGTGTGTGTGTGTGTGTGTGTGTGTGTGTTCACCGATCTGTTCTAGTCGGGTTTTAATAATTGCACAGAACAGATTGAAACAGTCATGATGTCAAATCAAATAAATGCATTAATGTAATCAAAAAAGTTATTAAACATTTAATCCTATGCGTCAACACATTCAATTTGACAGCCCTGTTTAAAATACATTTATTTTGTTAACCCAAACGCTTAAAAAATGTGGTTTCTGCTACTGGCTGAAAACATCTGTCTGTTGAATATGTGAGCTATGGATTTATTGTGGCTGTACATGTCTCTGCGGTGTGCTCCACTAATGACCTGCTCAAGTCTCCATTCCTCAAATCTCTCCTTCCTTTCATCAGTGCACTACTCTATCACTTCATCACTCCATATTGCTGGGGCCCGTGGCTGACATGTACGGCTAAGGGCCAAGTGTATGATGGAAATTGTCAGACGGACATCAGACAGAGAAAGCTGTAGGCTGTCATGTCAAGGACCGTCAGTCTTTGATGCCGTCTAGACGGTGTGTGTCTGTGTGTGTGTGTGTGTGTAGTCTCACCGAGCTCATCAAAGAGGGTCTCTGTACCGTCCTCCTCTAGAACCGAACATATCAGCCGAGCCTTCAGAAACGTGGTCCACTTGTTCACCAGACTGCGCTGACCACCAGTGTCATTCTAAATTGAATTTACAATGACATAAAATAAATTATTCATACATTTACATATTATTCAGTTCATATTAATGATATTATAAGATTGAGATTGCGCTTGATCGAAATTCCTTTAAAAAAAAAAAAAAACGTACCTCCCTGAACATGATTGCATAACTTGCAAATAGTGTCAGACTTACAGGGCACACTCGAGCCACCATAGCGTGGATGTTCTTAGTGTTTCCACTACTGTCTGTCAGTCTCTCACGCAGGAAGAAGTAAAGTTTGGCGTCGTTTGGGTCTGAGCCATCAGGAATCAAGTGTGCATCGATGAACACTGGCTCTAGTCAAAATAGAAGAGTAACTACAGCTTAAACACTCAATTTGCTCTACATCAACCACAAAAGAGAAATAAG